CACTTAGGAGTTGCAATTAAAAGAATAAAGTAGAATATACTTCCAAAATAGTGATGAGAAAGAAAAGAAATAAGGAAAATTTGATTAATGCAATAGATGAGAACAAATGAGAAAAACTAGGGATGGTAAAAATTGAACAAAAACTAAAACAGTGGTAGTAAATCTAAATGTAACCAAAAGATTCAACATCCCTATAAAATATAAATTTCATAAATTTTCAGTTAAGACAAACTTAGATTTATTTTTAAAAATTTTGAAAATTTCATTTAATGCTAGTTTTTAATATATAGTGACACAAAGTTGACACTAGAAAAATAAATATATTAGGCAAATGTTAACCAAAAGACTTCTATATGACTATCATTAAATGTGGATATTAAGGCAAAATGCATCATTAATACTAAAGAAAAACATTGCATTTAAAAAATTCACTAAGAATGTATAACAGTGCTTAATACACATACATTTAACAATGTAGTGAAAATATGAAGCAAAAATTAATAGAATGTCTAGGAAAAATTTGCAAATCCAAAATTATGTGGGAAGCAATATTGTGTAAACATACAAATACATACAGAGCATGTACCCAAAATTGGGACTGGTAGAGGAAACCAAGGGAGGAGGAAGACAGAAAGAAAAATAATTAATAATAATGAAATACATCACATCTGTGTAGGAAGAGGACACAGAAAAGCACACTAAAAACTATTAAACAATGCAGGATGGGGGGGAAAGGTAAGAAAGCGCAGAGGAGAGGGGTTACATTGACTAAAGCACAATGCACGTGTGAGGATAATATCAAGGCAGAAATCGCACAGTGCAATGAACAGACACCTAACCACCAAAGGACAAGAATGAAAAAAGGCCACGCTAAGGGGAGGGCACAAAGGAAAGGGGGAAGGTAAAAGAAGGTGAATATAGTTGATGTACTTTCTACATAAGAATGAATATAGAATATTTAAACATGTTGAAATCACCATATGGGGACTAATATAGAAAGGAGAAAAATGGAGGGGTTGAATCAATTCAAGAGGATTGGTTCCTCTTGAACCAGCTTCCCTCTGTAGCCATCTTAAACAAACAAAAATACCTTTTTTCAAAAATGAAGGACTGGAAGGTAAAATGGGTCCTGTCTAGGGGGTGGTACCAGTGGGAGGGGGAAGACATAAGAAAGGGGTGAAGGAGAATAAATATGGTAGAAATATGATGTATTCATATATGGAAATGGAAAAATGAGACCTGTTGGAAGAATTCTAAGAAGTGGGGAGGAGCAACAAAGGAGAATGATAGAGAGGGTGCATTTACAACCAAGATACATTGTAAGTATGTTTGTAAATGTTACAGTGTGCCAGTATAACAAAAATATTATGAAAATAAATTTAAATTAAAAAAAACCAAAATTATATGAGATAATTTTAATGTCTTCCTGAGTAATTTATAGATTGGGCAGACAAAAAAATAGTAAGGATGTAGTGAAATTGAACAGCACAATAAACTTAATCTAAAATATATTAAATTCTAAGGATTACAGTACAAATTCTTGGCTCAGGAGTAGACTACTGACCTCATATGTGAGGTTCCCTAGGTTCAACCCCCAAGTACAGCAGTACAAACAAACTCACACACACTCTCACAGAGTTTTTGATCACAAGTGAAATAACTATACAATTTTTTATGCTAGGTCATATCACAAATGTCAAAAAATGATAAAATAGTGATCACAATGCAAAAAAGGTTTACCACCACCCACATACTAATTATTGAAATTTTTAAAGAAAAATTCTAAATAATAGGGCCAAACAAAATGAAGAAAAGTTAAAAATGAATAAGGATGAAAACAATGCATATTAGCATTTGTAAGCAGCAATTTATACAGTACTTATAAAAGTACTTAACTTAGAAAAGAATAAAAAGTAATGTATCTAAATAAATAAGCAACAAGCAACAAAACCAGTTCAAAAGAAAGAAAATAACAATTGATACTTAAAAAATAAAAGAGAAACAGAAATTAACAAAACTAAAAGTTGATTATTTGCAGTAACTTATGAAATAGACAAATCCTAGCAAGAGTAATTTTTTAAGAAGTTAAGGCACAATTTTAAAAACGAAAAGAAAGTAAATGACCTAACTATAAAAACAGCAGAAACCCTACCAATAATTGTTATAGAATAATTTTAAAATTTTTATGTCAATGCCTTAGAAAACTTAGATGAAGAATGTTTATAAATATTTCTTGTCAAAACTGATATATCCGTAGCCATTAAAAATTGAATAAGTAGGCCGGGCACAGTGGCTCATGCCTAGCTACTCAAGAGGCAGAGATCAGGAGGATTGCTATTTGAAGCCAGCTCTAGCAAATAGTTTGTGAGACCCTATCTTGAAAAAACCCATCATAAAGAAGGGCTGGTGGAATGGTTCAAAGTATAGGCCTCTGAGCTCAAACTCCAGTACTGCAAAAAAAAAAAAAAAATTTGAACAATTTTTAAAGTCTGTCCACCCCCAACCAAAAAAAGTCATAAGATTCATAAGGTTTTGGAGGCCAGCTCCATCAAATATCTCAAAAACAGTGATCCCTGTTTTTTTACTGACTGTTCCTGAGACTTCAAAATCAAGGAATATTTTTCAGTGAATTAAATTAATCTAGTATGGGGCTGACATTGATATAAATTCATGTGAATATGGGTGGCAATATGATTAGAATTAAACATAAAAACATTTTAAGAACAACCTGGTATTACCTGGTAAAGGCAAAGATATGCATGGCCCTTCTGCCACAGCAATTTTACTTCTAAGTCTACCTCCTACAGACTTGGATGTAGGTACCAGGTGATATGTAACGGAGTGTGTTCATAGAAGAATTGGTTATCTCGAGAAAAAAATTAAAATAATCCACATGGCCATTGTCTGCAGAGGGAGTACACTACAATATTCATACAGGAATAATATACAGTACTGGGAGTAAATGAACTATGTAGCTTGAGTCCTAAATGCAGATAAGAAGCAAGTTTCAAAAGACTATAAGCAGGCTCAGGAAAACTAAACAATATATTCTTAAGACAATTACATTTGTGATTAGGAAGAAAAGCAAGGGGATGATAAACACAAATCTCAAGATACTGTTATTATTACAGAGCACGTAGAAGAGTGTGATTAAAGAAGGGCATTACACTAACTCGTAAAGCAGTGGGCATAGTATTCTCTAATTACTAATGTTTGAATATGTTCAGATGTGGTTTATATTCATATATATATAATATTTTGGTAAAAACTTTATTTTTAATTTTTGAGATTTTATTAGGGAAAAGCTAGTATTTGACTATTATCAGAAAAAATATGAAAAAGAAGCTCATGAAGGAAGAATATTGGTTACTATTAATAAGTATCATAAAACTAAAGGAGAGGAAGTAGTTTGTTAATGACACATAAATAGGATAAGAGTGTAATGGGATTGAAGAGTACTTTAATAACAGCAGCAGCAAAAATGTCTAATTAGCATCTCTGGGGGAATTTGGAAGCATACTGCAACTAAAATGAAAAGGATAAGGCTTTGGGTGTGGCTGAGTGGTAGAGCAGTGTGCAGCATGTGCAGGGTCAGGGCTCAATCCCCAGCACCAATTAGAAAAATGATGTCAGTGAGAAAGCATAGAAGAGCTACCTGAAAATTAAAATAGTCTCTCACATTCAAAAATCTTTAGCATAAAGATTTTGAGGATAATTTCAATCAAGTCTCCCAGGAAGCAGAATAGAAGGACAAGTAGGAGTAACTGAATATCTAAACTTGATGAGGCATGCCTGTAGTCTCAACACTCAGGAGACTAAGGCAGGAGGATTTGAGTTGGAGGCCAGCATGGGCTACAATACAATATTGAGAATAAATGAATTTACATAGCTAGCCTGGGTTGCAAAGTAAAATGCTTTCTCAAATAATAGCAGTAACAGTAAATGGATGGAATTGGAGATCATCATGTTGAGTGGGATAAGCCAAGCTCAAAAAGCTAAATATCATATATTTTCACTTATTTGTGGACTCTAGATCTAAAATGATGATGATGACAATAGTGGTGGTGATGGTAATAACAGAATATGAATGTAAAAGAGAGAGCTGTCTGGGAGGGGATAAACTTACTCATAGTCCATTGTACATATCTATGAAATTACCACAACAAAAACCCCTTGTGATAATAGTGAATGCTAATTTAAAAATTTTTAAATTAAAATATTATAATAATAAAGAGTAAATGAGTAAAAGGAGAAGGGCAGAAGTCTAATATTAGGTGTTTACTAACAATAATAGCTAATAATTATACATTACATATAATGGGTCAGGCAGTGTTTTAAACAGTTTATCTATATAGGTTTATTTAACCCTCCTAACTAGGCACTCATATTCTCACTTTTTAGATTATGAAGCACAAAGAGGTTATGTAACTTGTTCAAGGATCCATAGCTAATAAGTGGTAAAACTGCAGTGTGACACCAGGCAGTCCATAAGTTTACAGGTTTAATAAAGTCATTACACTGTCTCCCATTAATATGTTAGTGTTCAAATGTTTATATCCATATAGAAGCTTTCTGATTGGTCATTCTATAATTAGGATTATACTTATTGTGTATTTATCATTGTTGTGGAAATTAACAATGTTTTTACTGAGTTTTGCTATAAATTCCAAACATATTTTCTCAAACTTTAAAAAATAGCATTAGCCAGGTGTGGAGGCACACATGGAGCACTTGGAAGGTAGAGGCAGCATAGAGTGTTCAAGGCCAATTTAGATTTTATAGCTAGATTCTATCTCAAAAAAAAATAGCCTTAAAGAATGGAGAACATGTGTTACATTTTTGTATTTGATTAAAACAAATTTTTACTATTTTATTAGTAATACTTTGAAATTGTTTCATTACAAAATAGAAATAACATTTAATCTACTCAGTATTTTATCTTTAAGATATGTCTTAGAACTTTTTCAGTTGCTATTATCTTTGTGATATTTTATTCCCAGGGTTATCTTGAAGAACTCTTACGACTTCGAGAGAACCAACTGTCTGAAACTGTCTCCCAGAATAAAATACTACTTCAAAGGATTGAAGATTCTGATCTGGCCCATAAATTGGAGAAAGAACAATTAGAATATATAATTGTGGAACTTCAAGATCAGCTGTAAGTGAGATTCCTTTAGAAAAAATTGGTAATATGTAAACAGTGAGACAAAATTTTTTCACTAAAGGATTCAGATTCTATGAAATCAGATTGTCTCTATTATATTTTCTCACTTTTTTTAAAGTTTAATTTTATTTTTCCTAGTAGAAAAGTAATCCATGTTCATTGTAGAACATGTACATGTAAAACCTCCTTTAGTTGTGTTACTCAGAGTTAATTATGATAACTTGGTATACATTCTTCCAAATGCACATTTTTAATTTTTAAAATATTTAGTTGAGTTATTGATTGATTGCATAAAGATGATAATAAGACTAGTATTACTCAAAGTGCAGACATGGCAAATGAATTATTACCATGCTGTGCTAGACTATCCCTATACACAATATGTATAGCTTACATTATTTTTATGAAGAAAACTGTAGTGTATTGAGCTACATTCTAGTACAACAAGCTCTTTATCTTGTCACTGTTCAAAGCACTTGTACAAATTACATCACTTTGTTAAATTTGCCTTTATTAATTATAGTGACTCTTCCTTTATTTAATCATGAAGGATGATTTTTCAGTTCTTTGTTTTGAAATATTTTTAGACTTTCAGAAAAGTTATGAGGCTACTACTCAGAATTTCCATATTTCATTTCACAGATTCACCAGTTTTTAACATTTTTGCCCTATAATTCTCTCCTCATACATGCATTCATATTTCATCTACTTGAGAGGTCACATATACCATACCTTCTTATGCCTTATGCTTCAATGTGTCTTTCCTCTTTTTTTGTTTGTGGTACTGGGGTTTGAAGTCTAGGCCTTATGCTTTCTAGGCAGGCTCTCTTATCATTTGAGCCATGCTCCAGCTCTTTTATTTATTTGTTTATTTGTAGTTATTGTTGTACTAGTGGTACACTGTGACATTTACGAAAGTTCTTACAATATATCATAGTTGAATTCACTCCCATTATTTTCCAGCTCTTGTTTTGCTGTTATTATTATTATTAGTAGTAGTGGTGGTGGTACTATGGCTTGAATTCAGGGCCTACACCTTGAGCCACTCCACCAGCCCTTTTTTTTGTGTGTGATGGGTTTTTCGAGATAGGGTCTCATGGAACTTTTTGCCCGGGCTGGCTTTGAACTGCAGTCTTCCTGATCTCTGCTTTCTGAGTAGCTAAGATTATAAGGAGTGAGCCACTGGTGCCCAGCTGCTGTAATTATTTTTAAAGTAAAGTCTTGTGTTTTTGCATAGGGACAGCCTCAACCTGATTTTCCAACCTACAATCTCTTGGGTAGCTCGATCACAGGCATACCCTGCTATGTCTGGCTTGATTGAAATAGGATCACGCTAACTTTTTGCATGAGCTTGTCTTGAACCACAGTCTTCCTAATTTTAACCTCTCAAGTAGCTGAAATTATTAGCCATGTGCCAGATATTATCTTATATAACCAAAATTCAATGATCAGTTTAAGGAGTTTTAATCAATTTAGCACTTTCATCTTATCTATCAGTCACATTCTAGTTTCATTAATAGTTCAAATAATGTCCCTCAATGCAACTTTTGTTTCTCTGGTATCAAATCCAGTTCAGAATCATGTTTTCCATTTGTTTTTCAGTCTGTTCGATCACTTGAAACGTGGAACAGTTTCTCATGCCATATTGTCTCATGTCATATTTTTTAAGAATAGGTAGTGATTTTACATTTCACTGTGTTTGTTTGCTTTTACCTTATGATTAGAATGAGCTTATCCATTTTGGGTTAGACTGCAATGTAAGTTACTGTTTTCTTCAGGTTATAGCATCCAGAGACATATGAAGTCTGTTGGCCATTTGTTAGTGATAGTAATTTTAATGATTTGGATAAAATAATGTTCTCTAATGTACAGTTACTGCGTTTCTTTTGTAATTTAACATGTAATTTGTAGGGAGATACTTTGAGACTAAGTAAATATACAAGATAGGTTTTTAAGTATGCGAAGTTTTACTAAGAGCCAAAAAGTATTTTCTAGGAATTTATATTTTGATGAGAAGAAATATGTCTACATATTGTTTCTTCTATTTTTTTCTTATTATATAAAGAGGGCTTATTGATGCATCATTCATTGAGAGCAGGTTAACATTTCATAGCCCTTCACTTCTGTTTATCAGAAAGGAGACTATCAAGAGCCAAACAATAGAGATTTCTGGCTATTCTTTACAATTAAAATGTTAAGAAGATAATTTCATTTTTCTTTTGCAAATAATACTGGTAGTTTGTCTAAACATGTTTAATGTAAATTAACAATAAAATTCAAATGAGCTGGACAAACTGGTGTATGCTTATAATCCCAGCAGGAAGATGATGAGTTCTAAGCCAGTCTGAACTACATAGTTAGATCCCATCTCAAAAAACATACAGCTATGCATCGTGGTACACACCTGTAATCTCAGCTACAAACAAGTCAGAGGTAGAAGGATCACAATCTGAAGCTGGCCCAGACAAAAAGAGCAAGACCCTATCTGAAAGAATAATAAAAGGGCTGAGGATATGGCTCAAGTGATAAGAGTACTTGCCAAATATGAGACCCTGAGTTCAAAACCCACTAATCTCTAAAAAATCAATTTTTATTTTATCAATTATTTGAATAGATGAAATTTATTTTACTTTTGATAAAGTAAGTGGACCCTCAGATTTTTTCTTTGGCAGAACTGGAGTTCAAACTCAGGGCTTAGTGCTTGTTAGGCAGGTGTTCTATTGTTTGAGTCATGCCTTCAGACCTTTTTTGTTCTGGTTATTTTGGAGATAGGGTTTTGCTTTTTGCCCAGAACAGCCTAAACCACTGCCCTCCTGTTTTATACTTCCCACAGTAGTTAAGATGACAAGCACTTGTCACCTTGCCCAGATATTGGTGGAGATGAGTTATTATCAACCTTTTGCCCTAACTGGCCTCAACCCACAATGTTTCTGATCTCAGCCTTCTAAGAAGCTAAAATTACAGGCATGAGCCATCAGCACCTGGCTTCAAACTTTTTAATTCAAGAAAATAATACATCCAAGTTATAATTTTTATCATACTTCTATGATAGAATGGTGTCATTGATCCTATTGTTTTTCCAAAGGAACTTTATGGTTGTTTTTAATACCTTTAAGAAGATTTTGATTAAAACTATATTAATAGAGCACCAAATATAAATTATGGCCATTGATCAGAATTAAACTTAACTTCTTGAGTTTTGATGTTAAAGATTTACTTTCACATAACATGGCTAAAATTTCTAGATTGGTGTAAATTGTCTTATGAGATTCCCATGTATAAAAAACACTTTAAAAGATACCAAACAGGAGAATACAGTAAGTTCCCTTATGAATGTTCAAAATTAACTACTTTATGAGAATTAGTTTTAAGATAAACAGTAGTATGAGCATTTTCAACTATAGGGAGAGTGAACATTGTTTTCTCCTTATGTTATGAGATTGTTTACCAATAGTTATACATGTCTGCAATCAGAGCAGGGTACTGACATTCCCTTTGTTTAATCCCAAGAAGATAAAAGCAGCCTAAGAAGATTAAAACTTACAATATTCCAATGAAAAGGTCAGAAAAGAACTATTTAGAGGTGGACCATGAGGCATGTAATATTTTCTTCAACATTGTGTTATCTATTCCTAATAACTTAAATCCTTTCTCACTCAACTTGCTCTTTTAATAGTTCTTAAAGTTTACATATATTTTTGAAGTACTATTACTCTTGGATTATGTCTTTGAATACTCAAAATCTGAACATTTTGTGGGTCTGATAATAAAGTACCAAAATTAGTGGAGAGTAGTACACACTAAAAACTAAAGCCTTTCTTGCAAATTAGAACTGCCTTCAGAAAATAACTCCATGCTTGCCCATTGTAAACTCAGTCTTTAATCAATATCTTGAGTCCTCTGCCTCTTCATCTGTAAAATAGAGTATTAAATAGTGTCAGGTGTAATGTAACTAGGAAAAAGGTATTCAGAGAATGTTTATTCCTTTAATTTGGTTTATAGACACCTAAAATCTCCTTAATAAATTCACTCAGAAAGTGAGTGAATCAGTGAGTTTGGGCTTAAGTGTATTATTCCTGAGTTTTAGAAAACTTATTTTTGAGTTAATTTCCAAATGGCAGTTGAATTAATGTTTAAAATAATAATATATGTGTATGTATGTATATTTGTGTACATGGTTGTGAAGGAAACCTGTTTAACTACTATTTAACAGGTGTCACATTCTTTTCTCATTCATATATTTTATGGAATACTTATTTGGAGTATATTATAAGGCACAAATGTGACAAAGGCAAATGTGAATAGAAAGTTTATGATTGGTAGAATTTTAAAATATTGAACCATGTTAAATCTGCAAATATTGTGATTGGGATTAATGTTATTTCATGGGAGATATAGCATTATTCTGGGTCTTAATTCGCAGTTTTTAAGTCTGAAATCTTAATAGTTTTTAATTTCAGATCATAATTAACTTCTCATGGAGTTGAACTTCATTCAATTAAACATATAGAAGCAACTTAAAAATATTTGCTGTACTTTGGATCACTGTATGGAAAATTTCTCACGAGATTATGAAAAGTATTCCATTTATGACTTTTTATGGTCATATTTATTTATGCTAATCAGTGGGGAAACATCATGTTTATATTTAATTATGTTCCATAAATAGTTACTTAAATGTGTGTTTTGTATTTGAGATGATACCACTAGCTGAGAATACAAAGAAGAATAAGGCGTGATCTCTTCTTTCAAGGGACTAGTGAGATAGATAGATTGGCATAATTAATCACATGGTTATGTGCATGTGATTAATGTATAAGAGGAAGCTTTGTCAACATCCACAGTTTTAAACCCTTGGATAGATAATCTGTTCAAATGACTCTAAAATATATGTTTTTTTTGTAGCTAGTGGTTTGAAAGATTTTAGCAATAATAACATGTCCTATAAGATCCCTTAGGGAGAAAACTGAAGATTCTAGATAATATAAGTAGAG